GAATAAACTGTAGGTCCCGTCTCCTGCATCTATTACTTAATTTGATTAGGGAGGGGACGTTAAAGAACCCACTCACTGTGTGGTCTAGCCTGTTTACTGGGAATTGGGGGGAGGTGGCATCTGTTAGATTCGCCTTTCATTGATTGTAAACTGCTTAGCAGTCTGGTAAAGGCCCCCGCAGAGTGTTGTAAAGCGCTATGAGCTCAGGAGGTGAGCGCTATATAAATAAAAGTTATTATTATTATTATTATTATTATTATTATTATTATTATTATTATCATCGCAGAGAAATCAACTGAATGCTACATTCTAATCAGGCAGTACAGGGCGAAAACCGTAACCTGTGAGCCACGGAGTAAAAAATAAATGTACATTAACTAATCCTTAAAAGTTTTTCCGTTGTGTCTACGGTCCTCCTTCTAAGAGGAACTCAAACTGCCACCTTGAAAGTCCGGGCAATACTCAGCGTGCGTGAGAACACTGCCCTCTGCATCTTTCGCAGTACGTCTGTGCTTCTGCCTCCCACCAGCTTGCGCATCATGACATCCAGCTCCCGTGACCACCCCTCGAGGGCATCCATAATGATGTTATATTGCTTCACCTCGTAGCCTGGGAACTGCTGCCTTAGTTCCCAGCGAAGGGGTCCGTACTTCAGTGTTTTCTCTTATTATTATTATTATTATTATTATTATTATTATTATTATTAATTAACGTAATGTTATCACCAGTTGGAACCTTGCCATCTTTCCCCCAGGAGTAGTTCTACGGAAAACATCAGGTCCGTAATTGTGCGGTGACTGAATATTTGAGCAAGTGAATCTACGCTACAGGCGTGGCTAAAACTGTACATTAAAATGAAGGAGGTTTAACTCGAATGCGTGGGGTTTTTTAAATAAAAAAGAAAAAAGAAAACAACGAAATCTACAGTGAAATACTATGGCACGAAAAAAAAACTAATGAAATAAATGAGACAAGGTGACTCGGGGTCGGACACATACTTTCATGAAAACATTTTATTCCTTAATATATAACTATCTTATTCCTTCTGCAAATTTCCGTTACTTTTATACTGACTTTGGAATAATCTTTTCCAAGCATATTCTTTGCTCCAGAGATACTCCGTAGTCTAAAAATCTTTCATCGTGTTCAAATGGTCCACTACCTTCTACTATATTATCTATAAATAGCTTATATATTATCTTGCCGACTTAAAATTACTCAATCACTTCTGAAGTAAAAAGTGCGAAGCATTTAAAGTCTCGACCGCTCATAAGAAATTGCGGAGTACAAAAAACATTCTAAACAATACCAGAAAGGACAGGGAAAAGGTAGGGTTCAATAATGGATATCACACATGAAGCTGAAACGCTACGTTAACTGAAACTAGTACAAGGTCGTTTTCATTCTTTACGTTATGACATATGTATTCTCCAAAATTGTAATCATTACGAGCGAAGTGAAAATTTGACCTCAAGGAGAGAAAGAGAAGCAGCGAAAAATCTTGGAGTCGTGAGAGGCGGAGCAGAACCACNCCCGAGAGCACTGCCCTCTGCATCTTTCGCAGTACGTCTGTGCTTCTGCCTCCCACCAGCTTGCGCATCATGACATCCAGCTCCCGTGACCACCCCTCGAGGGCATCCATAATGATGTTATATTGCTTCACCTCGTAGCCTGGGAACTGCTGCCTTAGTTCCCAGCGAAGGGGTCCGTACTTCAGTGTTTTCTCTTATTATTATTATTATTATTATTATTATTATTATTATTATTAATTAACGTAATGTTATCACCAGTTGGAACCTTGCCATCTTTCCCCCAGGAGTAGTTCTACGGAAAACATCAGGTCCGTAATTGTGCGGTGACTGAATATTTGAGCAAGTGAATCTACGCTACAGGCGTGGCTAAAACTGTACATTAAAATGAAGGAGGTTTAACTCGAATGCGTGGGGTTTTTTAAATAAAAAAGAAAAAAGAAAACAACGAAATCTACAGTGAAATACTATGGCACGAAAAAAAAACTAATGAAATAAATGAGACAAGGTGACTCGGGGTCGGACACATACTTTCATGAAAACATTTTATTCCTTAATATATAACTATCTTATTCCTTCTGCAAATTTCCGTTACTTTTATACTGACTTTGGAATAATCTTTTCCAAGCATATTCTTTGCTCCAGAGATACTCCGTAGTCTAAAAATCTTTCATCGTGTTCAAATGGTCCACTACCTTCTACTATATTATCTATAAATAGCTTATATATTATCTTGCCGACTTAAAATTACTCAATCACTTCTGAAGTAAAAAGTGCGAAGCATTTAAAGTCTCGACCGCTCATAAGAAATTGCGGAGTACAAAAAACATTCTAAACAATACCAGAAAGGACAGGGAAAAGGTAGGGTTCAATAATGGATATCACACATGAAGCTGAAACGCTACGTTAACTGAAACTAGTACAAGGTCGTTTTCATTCTTTACGTTATGACATATGTATTCTCCAAAATTGTAATCATTACGAGCGAAGTGAAAATTTGACCTCAAGGAGAGAAAGAGAAGCAGCGGAAAATCTTCATGTCGCGAAAGGCGGAGCAGAACCTCCATTTGTTGCAGATGGTATTCAGATAATGTGCTTAAATGTTGGTTTACAAGTAGATTTTGGCAAGAGAAAGTGAAAACGAATCACCCTGCATAATGGACTCCTGTAGATCCCTCTTCTGAGGAGAGTTGAAACATTCTGCAAAACACTCAAAAACACAAACAAAAACAACAAACCAAGGAAATGAAACAAGATACCATAGGAGAGTGAGACAATAAGTATGATAATAAATCAAGATTTCATAACTTTAAATCAATATGGACAAAACGAAAAAAACATATTGCGTCGTCAGAGTGCAAGGCCTCCAAGAATCGGTGAAATTGGACTTTCATTACGTGGAAGTATACATAGCTATCATATTTAAGACAGAAAACCTTTAGTGAACATTTCTGACCGTCACAAATGAGGTTCACTAAAAGCAGAAAACAGTAGTTAAGAATCAAATGAGTAGTCCCTGAGAGTCAATAATCTCCAAGCAACTACAGTGCAGCTGGCCTGTATGATTAACTTTTGTTGTTCAATAAATCTCTTTATTGTCCTCCCTGGTTCAGTCTCGTAATTTTTTCTTTCGCTGAAAACTAAAATTGAAACTCCTACACCGAAAAATAGATTCTGCATAGATCACTTCCCTCCCTCTCCTCCCTGCTTATCTAACCTCCAGAAAATGAAAATAAAGAAAGGAAGGAATGATAAAAGAATACAATAAGACAGAAGAAGAGATTGAAGGAGAAAGGGACAAAGGACCCTTTTTCCTTGAGAAATCTTTAGCAAAGGAATTTTGAAGGTGGTTTAGAAGTAATTAACTTGCGAAAAAAGACACGACCACTTTAATGAATTCCACGAGTTCGGTAAAGTAGCCTCCATGGGAAGTCATGATCGGTTATTTCAAGAGGTTAATTGACAGTTGAAATGACCATTTCATCATCAATAAAGCTGAGAAGTTATAAAGTTCAAAGGATAATGGATTTTCAAGCAGCCTGAATGGCCCCTTGAACTATTACCACTTTGACAAGTTGTAAAGTGAACACGCGTTCTGAAGTCTCCAATCAAAATAATCTTTGATTGGCCACTTTTCAAGTAAAAGAAATAATCACTTTGGAGACCTTTCTAAATTGGTTACTTCCAAGAGGCCTATCTACGGGCTCTTAGAAGGGTCACCGCATTCGTTATGCTGCTCTTACAGGATTGAAAAGACAATGAACTGTAACGAATAGAGTCGTGCTTTAAAGAACACCTTTCCATACAAACAAACGTATAGTTTATACACAATTGCAATGTAGAGGACTCTTACCTGGACTGATTGTTATTTTTGCAACTTTGCTGGCTTTCCCTTCTAATATCACCTGTAAAAATACACAAAGTGTAAAACATAACTGCTCCTTACGGTACCAACAATACCACCGTCTCGTGGTAAATACATGACTTCTTACATTACGGGATCTATTCTTGAAGATTTTCTTTCAAAAAAATTAGAAGTTCCAGTTGCTCGAGTTATTAACGTACGACTGCTTTCTCTTAGGTTAAGGGTCAGATCGTTCGAGACGCAAAAATCGAGTAAAAGCAATTAAAATATCTGGTATACTTACATCCCTGGTTTTAGTTAAGGCTCTCTGATACACAATGTAATTCTCTCCGCTTTCAAGTATTTCATTTTTATAATTTGCAGTTTTTTCACCGTCACCAACAATGAATTTCCAAGGTTTTTTAATCACTGGTACATTTTCTATCTCAGCAGCAATATAAAACTTCAGGTTGTCTCTCTTTGAATCACTGGCAGCTTTCAGTTGCAAGCAATAATTTCCCGGAAGCTCTTCAACACCATCCGCGACTTTCAGAACAACGACCTGGTAAGCACTGAAAGGTAAACAACGAAATGCATTTACACAACTTTCATCTCATTTTTGATTTAATGTATCTAAAATTGGGTCCACATAAGAGACAAAGTTTACACCTCTAGTTACTACAGTTATAGAGCGTTGACTCAAGACATCTCATCGCCCTTGTTGGAGGCGGCAATTAAAAACTTTGAAGCCGATACTATGAGAGCCATACAAATCTCCTGAAACTCTAGATATGCGTTTAGTTATAACTACTGTCATGTGCCTTACTTCGTCAACAAACCTGTTCAATTATATGTGTAAGTCACACTCTTTACTTTTACCTTATGGGGCCATTTTCTTGTTCAACAGGCCACAGATAAATATCAACAGCTGTGTCAGAAACCTCAACATCGGTCATATTAAGTGGTAGTGGTGAATTAGGAGCTGACAAAGAAAAAATGTATATTTCGTATCATTCTACGACTTACACCCATTGGGACATGTACGTGAAGGCAAGACAGAATTGAAGAAAGATAATATTCATGATCCATTTCCTAACTTAATTAATTACTTGGGTCTGATTCATATCAATTGGAAACGATCTTCATGAGTTTTCTCTTTCACCGAAATGTTTCGTCAGAAAAATCTACATACTCACCCATGATGTGCGTTGTGATGTAGACACTTTTTGTTGCAGTTTGTCCACAGTCAGAGGAACCATAAATCTCAAATTTGTATGAAGTGCCTGGAAATAACCCTCTCACAGTAGACGTTGTTGAATTTGTTTTTTTGGCGCCAACATGTTTGAAGCTTCTATCGTAAAACTTTGTACCATTGTAATTCACCTACATGATGTAAAAAAACAGGTTTTGATGAAGCATTTCTTAACATTCACATTAAATACGAATCACTACCTATCTGTGAATGGTATAAGATCAAGCAGCAGCAAGGGCTAGTTAAACAACGTTGTGCTAAGTTTTTCAAACGTCAATGCTTTTGAAATTCATAAAAGAAATGCTGAGGCTGATGATCTCAGATTGTTCCATTTCAAATTTGATAAATTCTTGAGTTTTTCCTTTTGGTAAAATACATGAAAATAGACTTAAGACACAACTTTACCTAAATACATTATTTGAAGCAAACCCTGGGTCCTGTGGTAATCCACTAGTTCATGAAAATTTTGCTACTTGAAATTAATTTTGTTTGATGCAAATAGTTGTGGATGAAAATGCATCAAACATTTTCCTTTGAAGTTAAGTTAGGTTAGTAATCTTCAGGAAAACGAAATGAGAAAATTGAAAACCATATAAATTTAAAAAAAAAATGTTTACAGAGTATTTGTTGGTCAAACCTAACTTTTAACTTTCCCAACAGAAACATCACTATAAATTGAGCCCCACTTACAGTATAGGTAAGTGACTCTTTTCTTTCGGAATGTTTCCACATTAGTGCGACGTGGGTTGTTCCATAGTCTGTTGCTCTTAATTCCCCTAGTGGTTTTGCTACTTTGGTACAACATTGAAAAAAAAGGAACAAATAAATCAGAAATCTAAAAGAGTGGAGAGCTCTCGCAGAATACTCTAGTGCAACAATTTAAGCTTGTAATTACGAAGATAATAAACGTAACCAGTAAACGTTTAAAATATAGCCGAACCTGTATTAAGCCGCTCCGTATTAAGCAGTCACCCAGTATCAAGGGGTCGGTTGCCAAAGTCCCGACTTTGTTTTCCCTTAAACACAGCAATTTTCACCTCTATTTGGTAGTCACCTGTTACAAGTGGTCCAGGTCACCCTTTACTAAGCTCCATCGGCTTGTTTGTTTTGTCTTCCACGGTCGCTTAACGCCGAACGACTCAAATAAACTTAGCAATAATCTTTCAAGTAATATTCAATGCATGTTTCTTTCATAAAATCAAACCAAGTACTATTTTGGGGAGATTCTCTACATCAAGTGGCCAATTACGGCATTGAGTTGCGTTTTGTATCGTTTTGTATAGTACTCCTAACCTATGGAACCTGTATTAAGTGGTCGACATGTATTAAGCTGTCGCCCCCGCTTAAAACCCCGTTTTTTGAACTTTACTCTTGTGACTTCATTGCCCTGAATATAATCTAAACAAGAAAGCTCCTGGGAAGATTGTGACTCCTTAAATACCTCATTTCAGACAATCCAATTGTAGATATAAAATCCTGACCATTACTAAACTCACTTGATGTTAATAGTTCCAGAGGTTCGCTATACGGTCCAGGCCCTGCTCCAGTGTAAGCTCGAACAGAGACATAATATTTATAACAAACCATGAGGTCATACAGGACAACAAAAGTTGTCGAGGTATTAGCAGTGAGGTTATTGGGAGCAGACCAGTTGTGAAAATGTGCTGTCCACCAAACGTTGGCCTTGACTTCATACAAAGTAACTCTTCCATAACTCATTTCTTTCTGTAGGGGTTCCCATGAAATGTAAAAAGTCGTCTTGTTCACTTGAGAAGAAAAAAGAGAGTCTGGGCCAACACTGGGTTCTAAAAAAAGGACAAAAGGCACATCATGATAAAGAGAAAACTCCCTTCTTTAATCTGTAAGACATATATTTATAAAGCAAATAAAAAGTCTTATTACGATTATTTCCAACACATTATTAGCCCTTAAGTTATTTTGGGTGGCAAGCTACTGTGTGTACTTTGAAATTTACACAATATATAAAAATTCGTCTTTTTATGGAACAAATATAGCTGTATCGTAATCCTGGTTCTACTAACATGTAATCATTCATGAAAAGTCATTTCAGAGATATGAAAGCAAAGTTTACTGTATTCCTTGGTAGTTACAGTTATCGTTCCATTAGCTCCAGGTTTAATTGTCACAGCTCTGACATGAAAACGATAAGTCACTCCACCCAACACATCGACCGTGTGTCTCAATGTATCTTTGTCTATTCCAGGAATCCCTTTGGGTGCACCTCCACCGTGACTGTAAAACAAAGTGTAACTTCTGATTACTCCATTTGGCTCCGTAGGCTTACTCCAGGACAAGGTTATTCTTGGACCATGTAAATTGCTGGGTGGCACATCAACAGAAGACAAAGAAATAGGTGCACTGGGAGCTGCAAGAACAAAGATGATGTGATTGCAAATAAAAGAATGATACAGAAAATCATTACACATATATATATATATATATATATATATATATATAGGAAGTGTGAATCCTTATTTGTAAGGTGAGTGGGACGAGTGTAAGATGTGCTTGTTGTGGTTGTCGATGACCTGTTTGGTGTTGTTCATACAGCTGTAACTGATTTTGATGGTGTTGCGGTTAAATATTTTGCGGAGGCTGTGATCCTTAGTGAAATGTTTGTCGATTAGGCTGAGGAATTTGTGTCCGATATTGGTGCTGACGTTCTTGCTGAATGGAGGGTTGTACCAGAGGATGTTGCTTCGCTGCCTGTTTTTGCGTTTTG